CTAGCCTTGAGCTGAAGAGCTGAGGGACAGTGTCCAAGCCCAGAGTTCAGGCCCATGACTGGACCCAAAAAAAAAAGTCAAGCAATTCCATTCGTCACTTTGTTGAACCTTAAAGGAACAGCTAGAACCCTATGTCTACACAACTATTAAAACAGCTTTAAAAACATTTGTTATCCACTGGAATTAGAATGGCAGATTATAATAATCTTCCCCCATAGAAATTCAAACACTATTACAAGCTTACTCAGTATAAAATGAGGAATTCAGTTCCATTTTTACAAAGTTGGAAAAAAATAAAGATGATCAAAGCTTCATTTACTATACCAAAAGTTTTTTGCCTCACATAATTGCTGTTTACACATTAATACATACACTGAGGAGGTAAATAAATGCATATTAAAGGCACTAAGACTGCTCATCCAGCTATTATCATTTTTCCATGTGTTTTAACTATTTAAGGAGTAATTATACCTCACACAGTCCTCTGGTGTGTTTCCTAGTAGCATTTTCTTAACACCCAAAAAAAGAGACAAGAGAAGCTGCCCAAGTTAAGATCTGATTCTGGACTGGAAAAGATCCCAGAAAACATAATACATCAGTAGTGTTATTCCCTCTCTCCTCGTTAAGAAATGTATTTAACTGACCAAGCTCTCACATGAAATACATCAGAATTCTCCTGAGAAAATGAATCAAAATACAAATGCAGAATTTTCACCCACTGCCTTTTATGCATAGCACAACTCAACTCCAATTTGATATTACCGATTTGATAACTCCTCACAAATAGGTAAACATTTATTTTTGGCATCTTGCCTCATCACACACACACCCAAAAAAAAAAAAAAAAAAAAAACCTTTGGCCAATAAAGCTTAGTTTCCACAGCTGAAAACAACCTTCTTTAACAATACGCACTAACTACTCTTGAAAACAATTTTTGAAAAACAAGTTACTGAGCCAACAGCTGGAGAAAAAAAAAATAAAAAATTCAAATCAAGCTATTAGTAAACCATCTCTTAAAAAAATACATACCACAGAAGTGTGATTGAAAGGGCGGTTGTGGGGGTGCTTTGTCTAATTCAAAATGGTGATGGACCAAAGCTGCTATAGCAATAATCTGCAAAGGAAGGAGGGAGGGGGGGGGAAATCACCAGACACCTATTACATTCTGCATTCTCACGAAAACCACCAAGAATATAAAAAAAATTTAAGTCCATATGAATACTTCTAACTTTACTATGAAAATATTTAAATAAGTTTAAAAATACAGAGAAGCAGAGTAAATAAAATTGACTCCCACAAATCCATCACCCACTTCCAACTACCATCTCATCTATAGCCCTACCTACTTCCTGCTTCCTCCCAGATCATTTTGAAGCAAAACCCAGACATACGTACCATTTTACCTGAAACTATTTCACCATGAATATCTGAAACAGGGCTTTCCAACCTCAGCACTATTGACATTTTGGACAAGTAATTCTGCCATGGGGACGGTCTAGGGCACTATAGGATGTTTAGCAGCATCTTAGACTATATCCACTAGATGCCAGTAGTACCATCCCCACCTATTCACCCAATCCCTGAGTCATGCCAATCAAAATGTCTTCAGTAAGTTCTAATATGGTCCTTATTTACTGATACAAGATGATCCAGACTTACCTTAGATATTTTTCTGTTCTCTGCTCTTCTCCATAGAGCCCTATTTCCTTTACTAGGAAATGATATGTGGAAACCTCACTCTGGACCCTAGGAATGGATGCTGCTTTTAACTAAACACTAATTAAACCTTTCACAAACAATTTATTAACTCCAGTCATCTACTGTATAAACTATTATTTATAAGATCAAGGCCTGGGAGCCAGAAGCCAGCAGCTCACATCTATAATCCCAGTTACTTAAGAGAGGGGAGATTAGAATGACCACAGGGCAAGGCCAGCACAGGCTAAGGGTTCTCATAGACACAGTGGCACATGTCTGCCATCCCAGATATAGCAGGAAGCATAAATAGGAGAACTGCCTAAAGGAAAAAACAAGACACTATCTCAAATAAAACTAGACAGCAAAAAAAAAAAAAAAAAAAAAAGGCTGGCACTATGGATCAAGTGATAGCTTGAAACCCTGAGTTCAAACCTCAGCACTCCCTCCCACCGCCAAAAAAAAAACAACAACAACAAGGGCTAGGGATGGAGCTAAGTGATAAGGTCTTAAATTCAATACATAAATAATGTTTTTAGAAAAGGAGGAATGCTGGGGGTGAGGGAAGGAAGGGATAGTTGGACAACAAGAAAGAAGGAAAGGGGTAACAATAATTGACAAGAAATGTACTCATTGGGCTGGGAAGGTGGCTCAGTGGTAGAGCACTTGCCTTACATGCATGAGGCCCTGGGTTCGATTCCTCAGCACCACATAAGCAGAAAAAAAAAGCCGGAAGTGGCACTGTGGCTCAAGTGGTAGAGCGCT